AATCAAATTTTACAAAATATATAATGTATCTTTCTTTCAACGATAAATGATATGGAAATTGGGAGAAAAGGATTCGAAGGATGTGTAAAAAATCGTTTTCCGTGTCTTCGTACTCGCTCGTTGTTTAAAACAGCATCTTTTTTATCTGCATATTTAGAAAATATAGAAAATTAAGTGTCAAGTATATTAGAAGTACACTAGGAAAATCTGAAATCAAGTTTTATAAAATGTATAATGTATCGTATATATCTTTCTTTCAACGCTATATGATATGGAAATTGGAAAAAAAAGGATTCGAAGGATGGATAAAAAGACACGGGTCAGCGCAATTTAATTCTTTAATTGTTGTCAGTCGGATTCGAAATACACTAGTCGATCTTTATTATAATTATTATTGTATATACGTGGTACTCCTTCGAGAGATATAAACAATACATAATACAACGACGAAATAATAACAATATGCTGCCTTCTTTGTATAACCGTCTTAAAAATTATACATATACATACAATCCGTCGGTGGAAATCGCACTCGCAATTGAATCGCGTGTGAAACACATGTGAGTTAAATGAAAGCGACGATTTTTATCCCCAGCGAGTTTTTTTTTTCCTCGGGGGATGAGACGAGGGAGAGGTTCGCTTAGTCCTCGTTCATGTTTTTTTTCCTCTAATTGTACCCTTCGCGGTGAAGGCCTTCGCGCTCCCGTTATTAGAAGCGCAAAATCGCGCCAGCGGTTCGCTGGAAACGCAATAACGATTGTCGATCGAGCATCCTGACCTGGAAACGCGTCGACAGTCAGGACACGGTGTCGTCCCCTTAACGGACTCTAAAAAATATTATTGTAAAAGGATTGCAAAACCGTACACGACTGTACACTTATATCAATTAAAGTGCCCGATACCATCGTTAACGAGTATCACGCGTCCGAAAAGAATCGTGTTATATTATGACGACAAATAAATTCGGGATAAACATAAGCGGGATTGTTTCTTCCGGAACTTTCGAGACCCTCGATTTTTCCCCGAAACGTATCGACTTTTAAGGTCGATAAATCCTCAGCTCTGGGCGTTTCTCAAGCTCGTAAGTTTTGCTTTTTATTAAAACACCCCCAAGATAATTCTACGATTGTTCCGGCTAAATTAAATTCATATGAATCAGTTTTGTATCCCTATAGTTCGAGATACTTGCCGTCCCCGCCTTTCGGAGATCCATGCGAGTCCCGCGCGTTTTAATCCTCGGATTCCCCGTTTCCCTCCCGCGACAATTAATTACAACAGCGGACACGCTCGATTCTCCTCGGACGCCGGTGTACGTAACGCAAAATCTACGGCTATGGAAGATCCGAAACGTCGCGCGCGCGCTCAATCCTCTCCCTTCGCATCCCCCGCCATCATCGCCCTGTAACGCTTCATAATTAACACTAAACGCGTGATGGTAGTGGTGATGGTGATGGTGATGGTGGTGGTGGTGGTGGTGGTTGGTGAAGGTCCTCTAATACATCTAAGATGCACACCCATGCTTACTTAATGCTCCGTTAATTTAAATACGTATGCAGCACAGTAGACTATCATTTTTCCTATTCGTTAATGCACGTGTTACATGTGTGTAATGGTATGCGTGAGTACGATTTTATTACTTTTCCTCTCCCTCTATCTTCGCCCCCTCCTCTCCCCTCCTCCCTGTCCGAGTTTAATAGACGGACGGCCTCGTCGAGCGGATCGTCGGTCCACTTGTAAGTCGTCCCCCATCTTGCGATTCCCTGTCCCCCCCTTTTTTCGGTTAAAGTCGGTATTTCGCGCCCCCCCTCCCCCACCCCGAGTAATAATTCGACGTTTCCAAGTAGGGAAGTGAAACAGTTTTCGAGGGAGAAACGCGACCGACGACGCCGCCGATCGAGGCCGGCACAGTCTCATCTTCTTCTTCTTCTTCTTTTCCTCCTTTCGACGTGTCGCGTAAGAATCCTCGCGGGGCACGAGACGAGATACATTTCGGGCCTTCGTCCTGCCTGTGTCCGTTTCCTTTCTTTTCTCAGTCGCTGTAGTCGGGGACCGAAATCGAAACCGCGGCCTCGGCGAGATCGCGTTTCCACGCGAACGTCTTCGCGCTTCCGGGACACGACGGAAGGCGACGATTCCTCCCGTCGTTTTCGGCGCCGGAAGAGGGACGAGTCGCCGAGACTACGATCGCGAGCCCCCGATCTCTCGTCGAAGATCACCAGGGAGAAACGATGACGATCGCACGGGATTCATCCTTTCTTTCTCTATTTCTTCCCTCCCTCCTTTAACGCTATCAGTCTTTTCGAACCGCCAGCGATTGACAATCGATCGCGATTGGTGGGCGCGTGAGATGAGTCGATCGGGAAACGGGATGATGATGCGCCCTAGCGGCATTAGCGCGTGGACCAAATTTTGGTTAAACATTAGTCCAATATTTGCTTGTATTCGGCCAATGTTTGGCCGACGCACTGTGCCACT